CGACGTCCTCACGACACGACACCGCCCCGCCTCAGACGGCGGCCGGGGGCCCCGACCTCCGCCGGCCTGCAGCCACCGCCGCCGCGCGGTCCGCACCGAGCAGGCCGTGTCTACGAAGAAAAGGAACACTTTCAAACGGAGAAGAGGGAAGGCTGCTGACTTGCAACAACATTCTGTAATGAAGTCAAAGTTCTGATCCCAGCACATTATTAGAGGAGATCACGATTCTTCAGAATTTCTTCTAAGTGGGGAAGTCTGAGATTTTGATGTGAGATTTCTGATTAAAAACGGGAAAGTTCTTTGTGCCTGGATCAAGGCTTCCTGGAAGATTTTTACAGTTGGTTTGAGAACCGCTGACTGCAATAGATGGAGAACAAAAGGGAGCTGTTGTAAGCCGGCGTCATTCTAAAATTCCTATTTCTAAATGTAGAGCAGAGACTGTCATTTAGCAACAACTTACAACTAATTGTCATTTTTTAAGTAGATCATCCTGATATGACAACTGCCAAGCTCTCTAACTGAAAACTGCAAACAACCTAACAAGAATATTAGAATTAAAGGAAGACATTATTATAGACTTACAGAACTGCTGATAATCTCAACTAAGCCGAACAATTCCAGCGAAAATATGAAAGTAAATTGTTTCAGGAAAAACTAAGCTTTGCTGTTATCTTGGAAGATATCAATTTTTTTCAGTAACTATTTTAACTAACATTTATCCCCCAATAAGCAGGAAACGCACTCTTGTACAGTAACTAAAAGCAAGGGCCCTCGAGCTTGGCTTCATCTCTAATCCTGCTAGCTCTGTGATTTGGGATAAATTATTTAATCTGATCGGGTCTTCATTTCCTTACGTGCAAATGGAGTTAAGAGTTGTCTGAGAATCCAGTTTGCGAGAGGGTACAAAACACATTCTGCAAACAATGAATGCTGGCTATTACGACTGGGTTGTTTTGGTTTTTTTTTTTTTAATTCTGGTAATGAGATTGTAAAATGAAAACATCAAAGTAGCAAGATTAAAATTTACATTGGCCTGACACCTAGGAGACCATGTGGTTTAAATTTGGGCCACTGCGGCCTAATAACAGAAAATACA